CATCATTATAAATCGTGATAGCAATTTATAACTTTCTGTGAAAGAAAAGAATGTGAGAAAGTACTCTGAGAGAATAACGAGGAAAGTCACTGTGGATGAGCCGATCAGTGAAGGCTCTGCAAGGAGGTGGTGTTTCTGCTGACTTCTGAAGGAAGATAAGAAGCCAACCCATTGAGGAGATGATGAGAAGAATGTTATAGGATACTGAATATGTGACACTCTGAGGCAAACAAAGAACTTGGAGCTTTCGAAAAGTAAAGGCGATATGTGAGAGGGAAGAATGCTACAACATGAACTTGGAGAGAGGGGCAGGCCCAGAACATGGCAATACCCACAGGCTGTTTTACAAAGTTTTGGTTTTCTACAAATTACAATGAGAAGTTATTGAAGGCTTTAAATAGGGGAATGATAGGAATCCACTTATATTTTAAAAATATCTTTCCAGCTACAGTATGGAGAATACTACTCCTGCACAGTTATGAACATAGGAAGTCATTTAAAACTGAGATAATTAAACATTTTTGTGCTCTCAACTCAATTGCCTAATTGCATAATTCTCAGAATTGCATAATTCTCAATTGCATAATTCTCAGAATTATGTTTTTAAATACAAAAGAAACTGATGATATTGACATGAGGGTCATTAGAATATTTTTATAAAACATTTTAAATAATATTCTTTAAAATATTTAAAATATCAATTTTTAAAAATATATATGATGTAGTTATACAAACGTACACCTTTGTTAACTGATTATGTAAGATCTATAGGCCTACAGTCATAAGGTGGATGAACATAAATGCAGTGTTGAGGTGTCTGCAATGAATATAATATGATTGAAAGTATCTGGTTTCTATCAGTGGCCAAGTCACATGTACTGCTAAGGCTACTACAGTGTGTTGTCTATATTTATAATGAGAGGAAATGCTAAATTCCCATTTGAGGTTAGTGAAAAATAAAAATGGAAATTTTTTGTATTATTTGAAGTTCACATACCACCCCCCGAATTCTATCTGTGGACCCCTGGGGTAATCCAAACTAATTGCTTTTTATTTACAAAGTTATTTTAGTAATCACAAAGAGAGAAGACTGCAGTATGAACTGGGGTAGCTGCAATAGAGATAACAGGAAGGGAGCCAAATTAGAGATATCTCTGGAGGAAGAATCAACAGGTCAGAAAAGGGAGAGATTTTCTGGAGTTAGTGGGGAAATCTTCGTAGAAGTAGGCATAGGAATGTAAAAGAAGCTGTGTGCAAAATGTTAGCAGGGATTGTCAGAAAGCAGAAAGATCCGCTAAGCAGACTATTGCTGTGACTCATTATAAGGCAAAGGACAAGGAAGACAGCCACAGGTTAGAAAGGAGGAATGTTCATGAAGATTAAGTCAGGGACACTGAGACTCACAACTCAGTAGCTCAGGAGCTGTGGGACCTGGGGCAAACACTTAATGAAGCCTCCACTTCACATATTTAAGATGAGAATGATAATAGCTTGTGACCCATAATGTTGTTGTAAGGATTAAATAAGATACCGTATGTAAAGTGGTTAGCACAGTTCTGACACATAGCAAGGGCTGATAAATATTAGCAATTATTCTGATTACTGCTGGGATTCTGACACTGTTGGAGCATTGCCCACAGGAGATTGCAATCTCATTGAGGAAACAAGATAAAACACATAATATATTTTAAGAAGGAAACCATTCAGAATCAAATGTTCAAATATAAAGATGTGAGCAACTCTAAGTTATTAAATTTTCCTAGTATAGCACTTCCTGTATCATAAAAAGATTTTGAATATTCATGCCACATAGTTGTATGTGAGTGTTGCAAATGAGTAGGGATGGACGGTGCTGCTTCTCTTCGTAACAAATGAGTTTTAGAAATCACTGATTTACAGCCTCCGCTGCGTAACAGCTAAGCTCCTGTTTGGTGTAACAATGACTATTGCTCAAACTAGAAGAAAGAAGGAAGAAAAAAAGTGATCTCACTTCAGTCTGAAAGTCTGTCCTTTGTTTTCATGTAGGGGAGCTAAGACATAAAGAGGCTGTTTCCTTTCATTTTGTCATAGAGGCATTTCATAAAGAATTTCAATTTCAACCTTTGGAGCAAAGCCCACAGTTGAGTAGTTTATATGCAGATGGCTGTGACTTAATGGCAACACATGCGAGTTCAAGTTCTTTTTCTGCTGTGTGCTTTGCTGTATGATATTGAACAACTTACATAATCTGCTGAGCCTCAATTTTTCATCTATATAAAGAGGATAATAATTCTTACCTCAGGATTACTGTGCAGATCAAAAGAGGAAATTTAACTCAATGTCTGGAACAAAATAATTACACAATAAAAATATTTTTATAAGTACTGTAATGTCTATTAAAGAGTGAGACTGATTTTTACGTACATATCATGTATTGGGTTGACTAGGGTCCCCTAAAATTTATGCCTACCTGGAATCTTAGAATGTGACCTTACTTGGAAATAGGGTATTTGTAGATGTAATCAAATTAAGAGGAATCATACTGGATTACGGTAACTCTAACTGGTGAGATGGGAAATTTGGACACACAGGGAGGAGAATTCCACAGAAAGACACAGACAGGAGAGAATTCCATGTGAAAATAGAGATTGGAGTGATATGTCTATAAGCCAAGGGACACCAAAGATTGCCAGCAACCACCAGACACTAGGAGAGAAGCATGGAACAGATTCTCACTCAGAGTCTCCAGAAGGGACCAACCATGCTGATGCCTTGATTTCAAACTGCCAGCCTCTAACAGAATAAATTTCTGTTGTTTTAAGTTACCCAGTTTGTGATGACTTGTTCAAGACAGCCGGAGGAAACAAATACACGAACCAATACCTGTACCTCTTTGTGTCAGTTAGGGTTGGCTAGATGTTGTGGTAGTAACAGAAGGTGCCCTACCCTTCATTCTTAGGGGGTTTGCAACAGCACAGGCACACTTCTCACTCCTACCACATGTCAATCATAAATCGGCTGCCACTCCACACCGTGTCACCTTCATCAGGAATGCTGGCAGACAGAGCAGCCTCTGTCTGGAATGTTGCCTCTATCTGTTCTGTGGCAAAGGGAACAGAGAGTCAAAAAGCTGAAGGGTTTATGGGATGAGAAGAGGAAACTGATTTCCCTACCCAACCTGTAAATCATAAAGTTGAAGTAGCCTTAAGTAACAAAGGCTGGGTGCAGTGGCTTATATCTATAATCCCAGGATTCCGGAAGATGAGGCGGGAGAATGGCTGGAGGTCAGGCGTTCAAGACCAGCCTGGGCAGCATAGCAAGAAAATGTTTGAAAAACCAGCCAGGCATGGTGGCATGCATCTGTAGTCTCAGCTACTCGGGAGGCGGAGGCAGGAGTGACAAAGGTTTAATCAACTCAGCCCTGGGACAAGAAACAAATCAAGGGTATGGCCACTATGCCATTTGTTAAAATCTCTGCATCAGTTAGGAGGGTTCCTCATAAATTATTTCAGTTGGATAAAGTGGCATAGAGGAAGGGACATGGCAAACTGTGCATTGGCTCCGAAAGCTTCTGCCCATAAGTTATCCATATAAATTCTGCTCACGTCTCTCTGGCCAGAGCAAGCTTATGTCACTGGGCAAGTCTGGTGTCATCATGTGGGCATGTATGTCCCACTTGTGGGGGGGGGCAGTGACTATCTTTAGTAATAATATAATTCACCCCAATCTTACATTAGATTTGATATCCTTTCAGTAGTTGCTTGAAAGGCTTTCATAGTAGTACAGTGGTGTTGCTTTCATGTGGAAATCTGTTTTTTTATATCATAAATTTGACCCCAAATGGGATTCCCCAGGTTGATCATTTACCTAGTCCCCAGATGTAGCTATAGATGACTTTTAGTTTATTTCCTGAAACTAAATCCACCCTCTCATGTAGTAAAAATTTCCTTCTTTGAAGATGGTCAAAGGAAGGTACTACAGGGTACCCCTAACAAGCAGCTACAAATGTGTTCTAAGAAATGACAGCATTGCCAGAATCAGTGACAGCCTCCCAGTGAAACATCACTAAAGGGCACAATGCTTGGTTAAAGTCACAGATATAACACTTTAATGTATATGATATATAAAAATATGTATTATATAGTGTGTGTATACATAGATATACCTCCTGATGTGTCTGCTTAAAAAGGGAAACTGACTTGGCTTTAAGCATCCCTAGCACAACTCCTGAAGCAGAGGCATGGCTACAAAATGATAATAATGGCTAGCCTGTGTGGAAAGCTTGCTATGTGCCAGACACTAAATGATTTACATGGATTATTTCATTTAACCCTTGTTACCAGGGCTGGGACTAGGGTGGGGCAATGAGATATTGGAGCACAAAAGTGAAGGAGGGCCGGGCACAGGGGCTCATGTCTGTAATCCCAGCACTTTCAGAAGCCAAGACAGATGGATCACTTGGGGCCAGGAGTTCAAGACCAGCCTGGCCAATATGGTGAAACCCCGTCTCCACCAAAAGTACAAAAGATTAGCCAGGCACCGTGGCACACACCTGTAGTCCCAGCTACTAGGGTGACTGAGGCAAGATAATTGCTTGAACCCAGGAGTGAGCCGAGATCAAGCCACTGCACTCCAGCCTGGGCAACCGAGCGAGACTCTATCTCAAAAAAAAAAAAAAAAAAAAAAAAAATGAAGGAGACAGCCACCCGCGGGGCTGTGTAAGTGCAGGGTTGATACCTGCATGCCCCTGCTAGCGAGTGCCTCCTTTGGTTTTGCACCGTAAGTGCCTCACTCACCTTAACCTAGTCCCAGACTTGCTGGCAAGAATCCTGTGAGGTCAGTGTCATCAACTTTCTTCTTTGCAGATGAAGAAGCAGAGGCTTTTAGAGGCTGAGTATCTTGCTTCACTTTCACACAACGATGGAGCAAGGATTTGACGCCAGGACATTGGGCTCCAAAGCCTTGGGCCTTGACTGACTGTACCAGATTCCAGTGTTGGTTGTTTTTGTCTCCTTTTCCAGGTGTCCAAGGCAGCTGCAGATTTGATGGCCTACTGTGAAGCGCATGCCAAGGAAGATCCCCTCCTGACCCCTGTTCCGGCTTCAGAAAACCCATTTAGGGAGAAGAAGTTTTTCTGTGCCATCCTTTAAGTCTTCAAGAGGGGCCTGAAGAGCCTCCGGGCTCCTGGGACATTGACGTAGAGTTTTTAGCAAAGTGGGCACCTTTCTAGTCCACGGCATTTGAAGAGCGCGAGGAGAACCATCCTGGAAACTCCAGGCTATGCATGTTTAAAGATCTGGTCCCCTTTATGAGAATGCAAGCTGATCCACATCCTGAGTTAAGAGATCTGATTCTGCCGAACTGCCTGGAGGAGGGGAATATATAAAAATAAAATTGGTGTCACTTCTTTTCTGCTATCCCCCAGTCCCCCCCAAAATCCTCATGTTTCTGCTTCATATTTTAAAGAATAACAATTAAAACAGACAGCTGTACTGAGGTAAGATATGTGTGACCTTCTTGGAATGAATATTGTCTTTAGAATACCCTTTGATAAGCTGCGCTGTCCGTGTAGCCGAAATTCTGTTTAATGGCATTGATGTATAGTCATTGTGCCTTTCTTTTTCTTTTTTCCTTCTCCTCTACCCCTCCTTCCACCCCTTCCCATTAGAGTAGTGTGGAGATAAAGCTGGACTTGTCTATCAGATTGAACTCCAAGAATGATCACATGAAATGTTTAGGGAGATGTTCCCCATGGTGTATCCTCATGGTAACAATGACAAAAAATGCCGGTTGTCTGTGTTCTCTTTTCACTATTCCTAACGTGTACATGATAGCTTTGATTCTGCAAGTAAAAGTAAATCATGTGTTGTGACTGGTGCTTTCATATATTTGTGACGATTTTTGAGTAATATTGCATGAAAATGTCCCTATGTTACATCCATTCAGAAGTTTTGTTGTTTTACTCTAAAGCCAGGAAAGGAAATGAGAGGGGAAAGACCCTGGGGAGGAAAGGAAATCTCAGTATTTTGAAAATTGAGATTACTTCAGAGCCTTAGCCATGCCTAAAATACCTCTGAGTTAATAGTGGTATAAATGCCTCTTCAATACGTTTTCCAGAATCCAAAGCATTTTGGTTTATATGGGACCCAGGGCAGCACAGCTGTCACCAAGCAGGAGAGTTAAGGATTCACCATGAGTTGGGAAGTGCTTTTGCCATGAGTATGAGCAAGTTCCCTCCTTCCCTGAATCATGGACATTCTAGATTAAAAGAACATTTTTTCTGCTCTTAAGAAGAAAACCATGGCCCTCCTTTGTTCAAGTATTGGAAGAAATAAACCCACAGCTCCAGAGAAGGTGACCATTCTCAGAACTCTGGCTCTTCAGAAGGACCTCGAATCGCCACTCTTTGGGCAGCAGGTGCGGTCCCCACAGCCAGCTCTGCCAGGAAGAGTTCTGGCTCTTCTGTCCACTGAGATGGTCTTGGTTTTTCACTTAACACAGTTTTTAATGGAATCTTTGTTTTTGTTCTCCATCTTGTTTGTTAGAGTCTCTTGGTCTTTATTTACAAATTCCTGGCAACTAGAGTGCTCCTTTCCCAAGATATGGTAGTGAGAGTAATTTTTCATTGTAGCTGTAGTCTCCATCAGTAACAGCAGGCCCTGGAAGGCTTGATCACCTTTTTCTGTGTCATTTTCAGTCAAAGAGGCCCTCTCTTACATCTTGTTTGCTTTCAAATCCCCAAATACCATCTCCATCTCCCAATTAAATTTATTCTCCCCTCCTTCCTCTCTATTCTCTTTCTCCTGTTTTTTTTTTTTTTTTTTTTTTTTTTTTTTTTTTAAGGCATGAAAAAGGAAGAGAAAAAGATTTGCTATGCCAAGGACAGATTTTGAAACAGACTTGGTAAATGTTTTCCTTAGCTCCTTCATGGGCATGTGGGTGAAAGAATAAATACATCCAATTAAAGCTCATGCTGGGGTCGGGGAGAAGAAGATACTGAAACATTTGTGAAATGTATCAATGCACTTCTGTAACCAGATGCTTCTCTTCAAATTGTGGGATTTTTGTTACAGTCAGGACACCCATGAAGATTTAGGGGTGAAAGAAACAGCAGAGTATTTATTAAACTACAGCATTGTACAATTAGCTTAATAACACTGTGGCATAAGCTAAAACATATCACAGTTTTTAAATGGGCCAAAGCATGAATTGAATATGTGGTCACATGAAAACAAGCATGAATGAATAAAGCACTCTTTGGTAGCGATTAAGGCATCATTAGAAGACCCAGACGATTTCCACTATTCACAGCATTTCCTTTTCTCAGAAGGACTCTTTATATTTCCATGTAAATCTAGATCTTTGGAGCAGTTAAGATGGAATTACAATTTCTAGGGAGCATTTTAAGGAAAATGTTTTGGCTTTTTCATAATTTTATGTCTTACAGTATGGAATTATAATACGAAAATCTTTATATGAGTTTTGGCTTATTGGGATTTGTACTTATTCAGGGGAAACAGTCTTTCGATTACTTATGCCTCTAAAGAGTTTAATTTCTTGAGAAATTCAACAGTCCCATCACCAGCATAATTTTATCTTAAGGAATAACTAACAGGAAAAGTCAACTTAATTATTTAAGACCCTAGTTTCTACGTATAATATATTCAATAATAATGAAAATCTGCCATGGAATTAACTAATAAGTAGTAACAATAAACTTCATATTTAGAATACAAAGTCTATAAAGAACAATTTTACATGATCTTCAATATCAACTCCAGTTTAAAAGATGTTATTTTTAAAACATTTGAAACCAAGTACTGCTTAATTTCAGTCAGAAGATGCAAATAAATACTTTGATCTATGTCTGATTTTGCTAATAATATTTGAAGGAGATTGCCTACCAAGGACAAATTAAACAATACATTTAAAAATCAAACAACAAACGATTTCTCCATACACTCATAGTCACATATGGAATTTTGAGAAAATAAAGCATGCTGTCTCTAGGAATTTTTATACTTCCTTTTCTTCCTAAATATTTGCTTCTAGCTGCTCTTGGCAATGATGAATTGTTACGTATGCATTAATGTTTTGCAGCCCAAAAGTTGTTCATATTTTTCCTATATAAGATCTGTGGAGTGTGTGTTTCAAAGAGAGAACTACAGAAATGTTAAAGCAGGAAAACCTGAATGTGATGTGCACATTTTCATCCCACATGGACAATGTATGTGTTTTAATAAATGGAATTTTCAGATTCATTTCATATGCAGTCAATTTCATTGTGGAGGCCTGTGGACCACGTCACCCACTGATTCTGTCGCTAATTGGAGAAGGACCTGATGGTACGAATGGATGGGGAAATAGGAATCCATTGATTTTCTTTAGGATTTTGTTAATAGAGATGTCCCGAAGAAGAGAAACCTCACTTGACAGTCTAAAAGCATTTCTTACTGGGTCTGTACCTCTAGGGTACAGCCTTTGGAGACCGAGAAAGGTGGGAGCTGTGAGGAGAGTCCAGGGCTCTGTGACAGGGTGGACTATGCAGACAGAGGAGCTGTATTGACACTCTCACTTGCTGCAGGTATGCCACAGTGGGCTTTTTCCCTCAGGAAAAATAAAAACTGAACAACAGAAGTGCTATTCTCTGTAGCTATCCGTGATTTAAAAGGAGTACAGGAGAAGCTAAGTCCTTAGAACTCTAGATGCAGCTGCTCCTCAGAGATTTCTCAGTCAAGAAAAGACTTTCGAATGTCCCTCAGATTATGCCAGTAACAGATCCTGTTAGTAAAGAAGGAAACACTGGATCTCCTGGGACTTGTGCCAGCAACAGCAGCATCTTTAAACCATGGATGAACGGGACCACTTGGAGTTTGCACACTAGTGTTCCACTGACATCAGTGTTTCTGAGACTGTGGTCCATGGACCACTTGCTTCAGAAGTGTTAATACCTGGAATGCCTCTTTACAAGGCAGATCCTGAGCTACCCATGAACTCAGAATCCCTGGCAGTGACTCAGGAACATGCATTCTGTTACATGCTATAGTCTGAGGACCACTACAGTATTTATGACAGCTAGCTTTTCACACTGCCAAAGGAAAGGCACAAACGACTCATAAATATTCTCGCTCTTCTTCCCACAGCCTCCAGAAGTGACTGCCTAGGCATGAACATGTAACTGAAGGGTGAGAATCTAGCCAGCAACTAGACATGCCACACTGAGGAAGACGCTGCTGGGCTTTGACTCTGCTCCTGTTTTGTTGTGCCCCTGCGGGAGGACTGCCTCCAGTTCTCATTCTTTAATAAGCTGGTCACATTGTAGACGGCGCTTACAATGACAGAGGGAATTGGAGCTGGGTCAGCTCCAATCCACAAATTGCAAATAATTTGCCAAGGGAAATCCCTTTCCCTTCGGTTCTGTCCCACATCTACATTTTCTTCTATTTAGAACCAGGAGACTCAGGCAGAATTTATTTTAATGAAGAAGGCCATGGGCTCCTGGGCATTTCCTCAGCAAGAACTACTGCTGTTTCTCCCTGGAAGTCATAAGAACAGGCGGGAGCAGGGTATTGCATCTCTACTATGAAGCAACAGAAAGACAGTGCCTGGGGAGTTCAATCTACCTGTGCTCAAGCATTAGCATGCACTAGAGAACCAGAACTAGACCCCAGCGCTCCCATACGACCTTGGGCAAGTCCTTTGACTTCTCCCACTATAAAGTGGGGACAAGAATACCTGACTCATTTATCTCACAAAATGGTCAAAAACAAATGAAAGAGGCTGGGCACAGTGCTCACGCCTGTAATCCCAGTGCTTTGGAAGGCTCAGGCAGGCGGATCACTTGAGGTTAGAAGTTCAGCCTGGCCAACATGGTGAAACCCCACCTCTACTAAAAATACCAAAATTAGCCAAGTGTGGTGGTGGGCACCTGTAATCCCAGCTACTCGGGAGGCTGAGGCATGAGAATTGCTTGAACCGCGGAGGCAGAGGTTGTAGTGAGCCAAGATCATGCCACTGCACTCCAGCCTGGGTGACAGAGCGAGATTCCATCTCAAAAAAAGAAAAGAAAAATGAAAGAGGTAAAGGGGCGTCATGAAGGCAGAGGTGGTAAAGAACCATTAGACTCTACTTGACAGCAACCTTCGAAGAAAGGAAACCGCTAGATAGCTCCTGCTCACCTCTTAACTCGCCTCCTTTCTCCTTAGTCCCCAAACGCCCTGGTTGAGACCCTCAGTGTCTCATGTCTGAATTCCCATCACACCAGCTGGTATGGCCATTCTGACGCTCATCTTCTCCCACTTTCACCCAATTGACCCTGAGTATTCATTAATTAGGACTTCTTTGATTGCAAGTGACAGAAACCTAATGCCCCAAAATAGGTCCCACTTCAAGCCCAGCTGGATCCAGGTGCTTAGAGGATGTCATGGGATGTCCCTGTCATCCCTTGGCTATGCTCTTCTCTATGCTGGTTTAATTCTCAGACTCTTGTCTTGCAGCGTCAAGATGGTGTCAGCAGGCCCAGGTTTACATCTCAACAGTTTAGCCATCAAGGAAGAAAGATAACAACAGCTCTAGCAGAAGCCTCTACCTATATCCCTGGAACCCTTCCTAAGACACTATTGGCTAGATCTGGTTCCTGTGCTCGCCCACCCCTGGACCCAGGGATAGAGGTAGAGTCATTGGGCCATGTGGGCAGAACAGTGGTTCTAAGGAAATTGAAGTGCTTTTGCTATAGGAGGCAGGATTGAAAGTTAAAGGCAAAAAGCAACTGATGCCAACCACATCTTAACAGATTTATTGATGTTACCTCATCTTTCACCACATTCAGAAACCCAAGGTTCTCTGGTTCATGGTACTCTTGTCAACCACATCACGTCCAATCTCAACTTGAGAGTCAGGCCGCACTTGGCTAATCCCATCTTGCTTTCCAAACCCTCTTTTCCAGTTCATCCTGTCTCCTTCACTGTGCTGTGAGTTCATCCCACTTCCCTGTCTTTGCTGCTTTTTACATTTTTTTTTAAGACAGAGTCTCACTCCGTTGCCCAGGTTGGAGAGCAGTGGCATGATCTCAGCTCACTGCAATCTCCACTTCTCGGGTTCAAGTGATTCTCCTGCATCAGCCTCCCAAGTAGCTGGGGTTACAGGCACCCACCACCATGCCTGGCTATTCCCCACTTTGCTTCTGATGTTACTCCCTCTGAAATGTCATTACACAACTCCTTGAGTAACTAAACTTGCTTTTCTGTCAAGGCCCAGCTTGAATTCCATAAGGTCTGTGAATGACTTCAGGAAATAGGAACCTTTTTCCTCTCTCCACTCCTGTTGCCCTTGTTGTCAGTATTGTTGAGTATTTGACTGTGTTTGAGGCGTTGTGCTAGGGTAGACGGCATGGCACCTGCCTTCATGGAGCTTGTGGTTTAATGGAGAAAGTAGACAAGTGAATAGTCAGTTAGCAAAGTGGTCAATTCTAGGACACAGAAGCTAAAGGGAGGATAGAAGTGATGACCAGTCTGAGGAGGTGATGCTGGAGCTAATCGTACTTAAATGAAAATCTTTGAGGCAGAGTTTCACTCTTGTTGCCTAGGCCGGAGTGTAGTGGCATAATCTCGGCTCACTGCAACCTCTGCTTCCTGGGTTGAAAGGATTCTCCTGCCTCAGTCTCCTGAGTAGCTGGGATTATAGGCACCCACCATCACACCCAGCTAATTTTTGTACTTTTAGTAGAGAAGGGGTTTCACCATGTTGGCCAGGCTGGTCTTGAACTCCTGACCTCAGGTGATCCATCCGCCTCTGCCTCCCACAGTGCTGGGATTACAGGCATAAGCCACCGTGTCCATCCAAGAATCTTGTCTCTAGGGTAATGTAACCTTTAGGAAATAAAGAACACTGGGTGGGTGGGCTTCTCTTTAATCTTTCCCTCATTTTAGGGCAGCTGAGAATGAAGCTCTCCCCTGCAAAGGGGTTGGCAATTGGCTCTGCACACAAAACAATGGGCCAAAGCTAAGTGGAGGTTGTCACCTCTCCCCCTCCAACCTCTACTGGCTCCATGTCTTCACAACATCATGGGGACATTCTCTTCAGCCAGCAGCCCTTTGGTCTGGGTGATACCACCATGCACCAACCTGGAAGTCAGGTCTCGTGGGCTTCAGGCCCAGGGACTGGAGGAGATACATTGCTGGCTGCATCACCTTAATTTCAGCTCGCAGGAAAGAGGCCCTTCCACTATCTACTTCGGATAGTATCTGTAATTGCTCTTCCCTGTGTGTGCATTTGGCTATTTGCATTTGGATATAAATTAACTAGAACTTTCAATAAAATTAAAAATTCAGTTCCTCAGCTGAACTAGCCATGTTTTAAGTGCCCAATAGCCACATGCAGCTAGTGGCTATTGTCTTAGACAGCACAGATATAGAACAGTTCCATCACTGTGGAAGGTTCTATTGGACAGTGCTGCTCTAGGATAATAGCAACCTTTTTTCCATTACAAACAACTAACAGAATATGTCTTCTCCTTGAGCCCAAATTTTGACAAAACATCAAAAAGAGAGTGAGAAAGTAAAAGTAGTGTAACGACCCCTAATAATCACAACGACTGGCCACTGGTCATGGTAAATCATTGGTCATGGTAAATCATACAGGCTGTGGCATAGAAGAGATAAACTGAGGACTATATGTCATTCTTGGAACCCTCTAAGTCATATATTCACCTGTCAGTCTCACTCATGAACATACAATGATAATAATCATAATGATCACAACAGCAGCCACAACAATCAAATGAACACTTACTTAGTACTTACCTTTGAGCAAGGCACAATGCTAGACATTTTATAGACAGCACTTCATCTAATTTTCACAATAGCTCTAGGACACAGGTATTATTTATCTCCTGTAGCAGATAGCTTTGTGCCTCATGACACATCCATGATCCACTGCTGATTTCAGCCACAGCTGCAGTGGAGAGTTCTCTGCAAGCTCATTCTTCCCAGTGAAAATTGGCGCCCCTGGGGCAATCCCCAGCCAATGAGAGATGAGTCTGGAGAAATGCCTCAGGCTCCCACCCTTTCAGAGGGGCAACTCTGGATGCATTTTATATGATTTCTCTGAGCATCCATAAGACAATGCTCAATCCTCAATCAGCCACAACAGTAACCAGCCCAATAATATGCCATATTGCTTTTTCTCACTTAAATCTGCCTCATTTTCTCTCTTCCTACATTTCTTCTTTCTGGGATCACCCTCAACACTACCTTTCATAAACTACCT